GGTGAGCAAAAGTCGGAGCACGGAAATTATTTTGCCTATTTTCTGCACTTTTGCTATTTAAAGGCCCGTTTTGGCCAATTTTGACATGAGCTTAGAGAGATAAACCCTAGGTCGATTTTGAAGAGCTTTTCAAGGCTTGAATTGTCATGATTTGAGGATTCTTTGTAAGTTCAATCTTTTTAATTAATGACAATTAATTCTTTCTTTCCCAGCTCTTTTAATTCTTCAATTATGAATTGTGAGTAGTTTTAATTAGGGATTTGAGATTGATGAAGGCCTGGATTTTCATGATCTATTGCTAGATATTATTAATCCTAACACATACGTGGTACTACGTGCGTGTATGTTAGAACTAGCCGCCTAGCCGGCCTTATGATTATAAACTTTAAATATTCTTTATGTTATTGTTTTTTATGTGCTCATAGTTTGTACGTGAAGGTGGCACGCCCGTATTTGCTGCGAAGCATTGCGCATCTCATGGACACAGCTTCATTGCCGGCCTAGCCTCTTTCAAATGAAGCTAGACATGCATGCAACCACTTCTATATTATACAATCCCTAAGTCTGTATTATACTCTCTCGAGCCCTTATAACCTGATCAAATTTGACTCACACGAGAAATAATAAAATAACATGTGTGTTGTTGATGTTTGTGCAGAAGAGAGAAAAATAATTGAAATCACAAAAGAAAGATGACAGTGTTTTAAGAGATGGAGAAAGTATATGAAATATAATATGAAAGAATGAAAAAAGTATTACATATGGGGTTTTGATGGAAAAAATATGACCATTTTATATTTGGACATAAAAGTGACAAATTGAAAATGAATTGCACCTCTCCCCTACACAATTCATCGATCTCAGATAGCTTTCTTCTCTGTGCCTTCTCTCTTTGCACGCCATCCTCCTTAGTTCTTACTGTGCCAAACTGCCGACCAACCTCGTCACTCTGTCACTGTCTAGACAGTCGATGTGCCTCGTCGTCCTGAGCTTGAGGTTCGTCGACCAGCTTATTTAGATTAGCGACGACCAACACGCGACCATATGATAGGGATGACGGCGGCTAGGTTTGCAATGGCATATAAACTAACAAAACACTACTTAAACTTTGATACCCTTTCTATCAGGTTGACATTCAAGATTGAACTTTGAGACTTAACATGATATAAGAGTCAAATCCGGTTGTGATTTCGGTGCTTTTAGCACCCATGATCTTGTCAAAGGTCTGTTTGACACATTTATACACAAAGGTATTTTGTAGCACAATTGGAATGTTAAAATTTATCCCACACTGGAAAAGTATAAACTAACAAAATACTACGGCGTATATAAGAATCGAGGATGGAAATTCTAAAGAGAGAGTGTAATATATATGTGGGAAAAGGGTCAAATAGGCCCTCGAACGTACATAAAAAAGGTCAAATGAGCCTTTATATAGGAGAGGCTTTTTCCCGTCGTCGTCATTTGGGGAGTTCCCGGTGGAATTTTTTGATGAATTCTTTTGAGCATCTTATTCATTAAGTCTAGTTTACTCATATCAAATTTCAACTAACAATTCAATCGGGAAGGCATTCAAATGAAATCTTGAAGATAACTGCACAGTTATCTTCAAGAATTCATTTGAATGTCTTCCTGATTGAAGTTTTAGCTGGAATTTGGTATGAATAAACTAGACTTAATGAATAAGATTCTCAAAACATTTCATGAAAAAAATTCAACAGGAACAACCCAAATGACGATCGCCGGACAGAGCCTCCTATATAAAAGTTTATTTGACTAAGTTCGAGTGCCTATTGACCCTTTCCCCTATATATGCGGGTGGTCCTAATTTACTGTCCAGTCAAAATTTGTAAAAAGAGTGACTCAAGCAACGACTAGAGAAGATCTTTGTTCACTAGCAAAGGATTATTTTCTTAACCTTTTTTCTTCTTCTTTGGCAGATTACGCTCAAGTGCAGCAGGGTATTGAGGCACGCGTGAACGAAGAAGCAAATAACATGTTGACAAGCCCTTTTGCGGATGATGAATTTAAGGCGACCGTCTTTCAAATGCACTCTGACAAAGCTCCGGGTCCAGATGGGTTGAATCCTGCATTTTATAAACGCTTCTGGGAACTATGTGGGGCAGATGTAGTGCAAGCAAGCAAGCGTTGGTTGGAAGAGGAACGATTACCAGAGGCAGTAGGGCAAACTAATATTGTCCTCATCCCGAAGTGTGAAAATCCGAGGTCCATGGCAGATCTGCGCCCAATATCATTGTGTAATGTAGTATATAAAATCATTGCTAAAGTTTTAGCTAATAGGCTACAAAAAATACTGCCTAGTTGTGTTTCCTCAGAGCAATCGGGTTTTGTGTCTGGAAGAAGCATTTTAGATAATGTCCTAATAGCAAGCGAGATTATACATCATTTGAAGTGCAAGACAAGAGGAGTAACGGGGGTTGTTGCTCTAAAGATCGATATTAGCAAGGCTTATGATCGAGTTGATTGGGGATATTTATTTATGGTGCTGCACTCGATGGGGTTCAACCAGAAATGGATTAGTTGGATGAAGATGTGTGTAACTACTGTCAGATACTCAATCTTAGTCAATGATGATTGTGTGGGGCCAATTATCCCAAGTAGGGGGTTAAGGCAAGGAGACCCTCTTTCCCCCTACTTATTTATTCTGTGTGCTGAGGGCTTCACATCTCTTATACGAAAAGCTGAAAGAAGCGGAATGTTACATGGTGTCAAGGTCAGTAAAAGAGCACCTTCCATTAGTCACTTGCTCTTCGCTGATGACAGCTTCTTATTTTTTCGGGGGGATGAAAGTGAAGCGAGACAGGTAAAGAAGATACTAGAGACTTATGCAAAGGCCTCGGGGCAGCATATTAACCTCCAGAAATCTGAAGTGTTTTTTAGCAGAAACATTGAAGGTCCAAAGAGGGAGAATATTGCTTCCATCCTTGGAGTTAGTATTTGTCTGGGAACAGGGAAGTATCTTGGGCTGCCATCTATGGTTGGGAGGAGTAAAAAGGCCATTTTTAGTTATATCAAGGATCGAGTATGGAAGAAAATTTCAGGTTGGAGCAGTAAACTTCTCTCACAGGCCGGTAGGGAAGTGTTAATTAAAGCTGTAGTTCAAGCTATTCCGGTGTACTGTATGAGTGTCTTTATGTTACCCATGACACTACAAGAAGAGCTGGAAAGGATGATGAACTCCTTTTGGTGGGGATCACGAAAAGGAGAAGGTCGAGGTATTAATTGGTTGAGCTGGGATAAACTGACAGTTAGAAAAGAGGAAGGTGGGATGGGCTTTCGTCATCTCCAAAGTTTTAACCTAGCAATGTTGGGGAAACAAGGTTGGAAGTTAATTTCTAACCCGGATGCTATGGTGACGCGCGTTCTCAAAGCAAAATACTTCCCAAATGGGGACTTTTTAGGGGCTGCTATTGGGCATAACCCCAGTTTTACTTGGCGTAGCATCTGGTCGGCCCGAACATTAATAAAAGAAGGATATAGATGGAGTATTGGCGATGGCAGAAATATTGATGTATGGGAACAGCCTTGGCTACGTGATTTGAATGACCCATGGGTTCACTCGGGGAGAGATCGTGTAAACAGGGAGGTTCGGGTATCCCACTTAATTGATCAAGAAAGGGGTGGATGGAAAGAGGACTTCATCAGAGAAGTCTTTGAGGATGTGGATGCGAATAGAATTTTATCTACTCCTCTCTTTAGATTGAATGGGAAGGATATGCCTATATGGCGATTTGAAAAGAATGGTCAATACTCTGTTCGCAGCGCATACCGACTATGTATGAACACGTTGGTGAAGACTGATCATCTAAAAAAGCAAGGCGAATGGAGGAAGATTTGGTCTCTACCAATTCCCCCAAAGGTCCGCACATTTCTATGGAGGCTTGGGCGGGACTGTTTACCAAACAGGAGCAGACTTAGGGAGAAAGGTATTCATTGCCCCAATGTGTGCATAAGCTGTTTTGGGAGCCCAGAGAACAATTGGCATGTTTTTCTAGTTTGTCCAGGAAGTATAGCATGTTGGCAAAGGGTAGGCTTATGGACTTTATTGGAACAGGCTATGGCACGGGTTGAAAGCTTCACAGAGCTGCTCATGGATGTGTGCAGAAATCTGCCAGATGAACAACTATGCACTTTTGCTATGGTAGCCTGGAGTCTATGGAGGCGGAGAAACACCTTTTATTGGGAAGGAAACTATGAGACTGATCAGCATGTTGTAGCTCGTGGGGTGGACATGTTAAATGGCTGGAAAGAAGTTCAAGGGCAGCCTCGCACCAGGTTGCATATTAATCTTGTTACTACAAAATGGAACCCCCCACCACAAGGTACTCTCAAGTGTAATGTTGATGCAGCGATTTTTGAAAAAGACATGAAGATAGGAATGGGGTGCTGTGTACGCGACTACCGAGGGCAGTTCCACAGTGCTCGGTCGGAATGGTGCCGTGCAGTTTCATCACTGGGGGAAGCAGAGGTTTGGGGCCTTCGGCAAGCAATGAAGTGGTGTCTAGAGTGGGTTAGAGGGAATATAATTTTTGAGATGGATTCCAAACGAGTGGTTGATGATGTGCATGGTGATCGGGAGGATGTGTCAGAATACGGATCGCTCGTGAAGGATTGCAGATCAATGCTAGCGGATAATAACAACTTTAAGATTGTTTTTACTAGACGGCAAGCAAACGGTAGTGCTCATGTCATAGCTAGGGCGGCTACTAATCATGCTTATCGTATGACCTTTTATCACCTTCCTTATTGTATTCTTGATATTATTAATAATGAAATGAATTAAGTTATTCCTTTCAAAAAAAAGCAAAGAGAGCCTCCTACTGCCTTATTGTTGGTGTTGGTTCGACCACAGCCGTCCGATCGAATACAGATAGAGATGACAAGCACCGCAATCGACTGACTTGACTGACTACACGAGTCCTTGTGGGCCTACCTATACGGAGTGTATATATATAAATAAGTAAATAAATAAATAAATACGGAGTAGCAATTAAAGGAAGTCATAGAGGAGAGCATTTGTGATTTCATTTCTTCCGAACTTCATATTTTATTTATTTACTTATTAAATTATTACTACATTAATTAAATGGCTCTTCCGCGTAGACTTGTGTCATCGCCACCGCCTCCTTGGAGGACAGCGACGGAGGCCGATCCACCGTCCGCAGTCAACACCGAGTCTGATTTTGTAGTCATCCTTGCGGCGCTCCTGTGCGCTCTCATTTGTGTGGTAGGGCTTGTGGTGGTGGGCCGCTGCGCCTGGCTCCGCAGGGCCCGGGCCAGGAATTCGCCGCCCAACAAAGGTCTCAGCAAGAAGGTGCTCCGCTCGCTGCCCAAATTCACCTACGGCGCCGACGATTGTGCCGGCGGCAAGGGTTTCGCGGCCGAGTGCGCCATATGCCTGGCGGATTACGAGGGCGGCGACCAAATCCGAGTGCTCCCGCAGTGTCGCCACGCTTTCCACGCCGAATGCGTCGACAGTTGGCTCGCCTCCCACTCCTCCTGCCCATCGTGCCGCCAGATCCTCGTCGCCTCCCGGTGCCGGAAGTGCGGCTGCAAGGACCTCCCGTCCGGCGAAGGAAGAAGCCAAAGCAGCAGCAGCTAGCTAGCTTTGATGCAAATTTTGGGCGGATCCAACCATTGATGAATGAGAAATCCCGGCGGCACCGGCACGGCAATGTTATGCTTGCGAGCTATTTCCGGGTCGGGTTGAAGACTTGAAGTGTACTGTTATTATGTACGTATATAGATAGATAGTCGTATACAGAAAGAAAAAAGAAGGAAAGGATAAATACGTAGGTTCGGTAGATTATTTATATCGCCGTTTCTGGATCACGCCACACTCATTTCTCATCGGATCTAGTGTATACCTCTTTTCCTTCTTACACATACTGCATAGTTTTGAACTTTTAATTAATTTTCTACACTTTTCCCTCTATGGCTCTATCTAATTGTTAAATCTGTTGTTGACATTTGAGAATTGAGATGGGTCCATTGATATGTTCACTTTGCCAAACCGAATAGAAATTAATCTTACGGGCCAAGTATCTTGATCTTGTGATCTGATGACAACACTGCGACACTTTCAAATAGGAGGTCACAGGTTCGAATCTCATCCCTGTTCAAGAATGTTGGCTTTAACAGAAGAGACACTATAATAGATTAGAAAGATTTGTTCAAAAAAAGTTGATCTTACGGAACATTCATCAATTTAACATAAAAATGGCAAAAATATATATTACTCCGTTGAAGATAGAGGTTTTGACTAAATATTAATAATAAATGGATAATGGACAAAAAGTGACATTCTTTTTTAATTTCCCAAAAAATGTGACTAATAAATAATAAGCTACAGTAAGTCAGTAACATGCTATAGTGATCCAATACAGTGACAAATGACGCGTTATAGTGACATGAGCACAGGGACATCCATCACCTCATGACCTGTGATCGCCGTCGGCACGAGGCTGTCACCGACTACAGTGACGCCGCCAAAGTGACGCCACAACAGCTCTCAGTCACATCAATTTTTTCAGTGACACCGTTGCCCGAAAATTACTCTGGCCCCTGCCACCTCAACAATATCCCTCCCCAGCATCCCAACTCCCCCCAAGCCCAGCCATAGCCACCGCACAATTGTTGTTTCGCCCTCATAGCCCATCTGTAACACCCTAGAAGTCAAATCCAGCCACCACACCTCGCCCCTCAACCAGTAAGTAAACACCATTGCTACAAGCCTGCAACCAAGACCCTAACTATTACTTGATTTGAAAATGCAAGGGCGACAATCGACCGGCATGGCCATTATAACACGAGACAGAAGGAGAGGAAAAATAAAGCGGTCGACGGACTTCCAATGACATTGAGCGACAAAGGTGCGAACCGAGGTGAGCGATGGTGTGGCGACAGGCTTTGACGGCAACGATGCGCTTTAACAATGCAACATCGCGTCACAGCGGCGATGGCTGAGCGACGTGACTTAGAGGAGGAGCTGCGACGTTGGCGGATCTGGGTGGAGCTTGAAGACGGAGGACATGGCTTGAAGGTGGAGGAGGTTTGGCCAAACAAAAGAGAACGACATATCTGGGTGGAGCTTGAAGATGGAGGACAAAGCTTGAAGATGGAGGAGGCTTGGCCAGGCAGAAGAGAACAATGCGCAGAGAAGGCACAGAGAAGGGTGACGGGCTGGACAGGCAAGAGACGATTCCTTTTTAAATTAAATGGTCATATTTTTGTCTATTAAAACCTTATAAGTAATATTTTTGAAATTCTTTCTTGAAGGTAATCATATGACTAGTTTTCATTTGTTCAAAAGATTCACTAATCATTATTTAATTGATACTCTACCTGTAAATTTTTCTTTTAGTTTTAATTTCTACTCAGTTATCCAACTTCATTGCCTTCTCCCGCAACATTTATCGGCGGTCCCTTGAATTGAATTAAAGGGTCACTAGTAGGCCACTAGACTGGAGCCACTGATTCTATGAGTCACTCATCATTGTTCACTAAAGTTAGTGTGAAGAGATCATTGGGCACCAATCATGGTAAAAACGTCATCTCAATCACTTATCATTTTATGCACAACTTTATCTTATAGTATTATTATGTTGGAATAAATCCAACAACACTTTAATCTTCATATTAGAATTATCTAGACAATTATTTACGTGGAAACATTTCTGACTCCATTGGAGATAATTTTTACATATCCGGAAGACATATTGTCACGCCCCAGACCGCATCTAAGCGCATATACAACCGCCGTATGACTAAATGACGTCACTCGCAAGTCAACGTGACTTGATCATACAAGGCGTCCATGAACATAGTTCATACCATACTCAGTAAGTAAACATAAATAACAACATCACATATTTGGATTGAACGTGTAACGCCCCAAAATCTGGCCTAGTTGTTAAGTTACATAAGAATATAATCTCAAAGATTATCTTTAATTAATCATTAATCTTGTTTAACTTTGAAATTAATATCCAACCTATTTCCACGAAGTATAAATAATAAAGTAACGTGAAGAACAGGGCCGGTCCCGAGAAAATACGGGCCCTGTGCAAAAATAAAATGTAGGCTTTTTTTAAAATAGGTAGAAATATAATATAAGTGAAGATCATATTTGTAAAAATTTGCTACAATAATAATAATTCATATATATCAAAATACAAGTTATTCACTAACATAATAGTTAAAATAAAACTATTCCCTCACAAAATACACTTCATTTATTTGTTAAATTGAATTATAAATTAATAGTTAAAATAAAATTATTCCCTAACATCAATATAATTGATAGACGTAATGAACATTTGATAAATATTTAATAGTTTGTTAATTTAATAATGACATGCAATAAAAAATAATAGTAGTTATTATTATGATTACAAATTAATATCAATAATTGTAGTGGATGACATATATGAGCTTAGAATCTAATGAGTTTTTAGTTATACTTTATATGATATAACACTACGAATTGAGAGGATGTTAACAACAACCTAATGGTTGAGCCGGTTAAGCGTCCTCATGGGTAAGAAACCCTCCGGGGTTCGAATCCCTTGGTGTAATTTTTTTTTAATTGTGAAGCATGGGATCTGAATATTGGGCTCTATTCGTTCTTATAGTAATATATAAGAGGTCTATTGAAAATTTGGGCCCTCGAAAATTACGGGCCCTGTGCGGCCGCACATCTGGCACACCCTCTGGGCCGGCCCTGGAGGCTGGGGATGAGACCGAAAGGGAAGAGGGCTGCACCGGATTTGATATGGGCGCCATAGTAGTCATGCTTGAAGCCGGAGAAGAGAACGCCGGCGCGCTTGAAGCTGCTGCTGTGACGGCGGAAGAGGAAGACATGCTGGAGACGCAGTAACGAACGACGTTATGCGGCTGAGTGAACGAAAAAGAGCTAGGGAAACCTAGGCATCTGATACCATATGAAAATAATAATTGGGAAATAATAGCACACCCATCTAGGGTGTTCCCATGGATATATATAATAAACGAATGATGAGTAAATTACAATTATGTCCGCTAATATAGATTATTAAATACTAGTTATAACTTAGATTAATCTGGAAGAATTTCACCAAGTGGGAAGGGAAGAAAGGAGCTGGGAAATTAAAGAAGGCATTTTGAATCAATATAGTACTCTTAAGATCTCCAATATAAGGTCAGTACGTACGTTCCCGCCCCCGTTTAGATTAATTTAAATATTATTATGTTAATTTCCGTCCCCGTTTCCTGTTATGTTATGGGGATGATGAATATTGTATAAACTAGAGATATCTTATTTGTTTTAAGACTTTATTCTTTGAATCTATAGAATTATTATTCTCAATCAATCGTAATATAGCTTGTTAAAATTATCTGAATGAAAACCAATAAACCGTAGCTTAGATGATACTCCGTATGTTTTATATAAATAAACCCGCGGTATCTACGTAAATGACAAAAGTAAAACATAAGGTTAGTACCTTAGCTTTATAACCTGCATGTATGCATTAGCTCATATCCATGCATATATATACGAATAGTACAACCTGCATATTAGTGTGTGTATATATAAACTTATATATATGTAAGTGTTTAACAATAATATACTATTAACATGCATGCACAATCTAAGGCTTAACGTAAGTATAAAATATATACTTCCAATTAACAATTAATTGATTGATTGATATTATATATATAATATATATGATACGTAGTATATGTTCTCCATGTTACGTGGGTATATGAAGTATAGGAATTCTTAAAATGTATTTCTGGAAAACAGGCGTAAAGTATGTATATGAGTTGCTTGCTTATGTGAGTTTACGAACATATATTTTCTAAATGACTTCAGTAGAATTAATACTTTAATTTTATTTAAATTACTATATACGTAAGTAATAATTAAATATTAAAGTTATATTTTCTGAAAAGCCTTGCTCTCGGTCTGGCACTCTGACGTGAATACTTCTGTTCTGTTTAGTGTACTACGTACACTCCTGAAATTCTGTTTTAGAGGAATTAGTGTTCTCCTGTTTAGTGTACTTCGTACACTCCTGAAATCTTTTTAGAACACTATTACTCTTCTGTTAAGGATCAGATCTCTTCGGTGATCTCGTCCTTTCTGATCAGCTAGCTTCTGTCAGGGATTGGTACGTGTAGCTCCGGCGATTACGTTTCCACATCCTTTCTGGGTAATGTGGATACAGACTCGAGACTGTATTCCTTACCGTCAATATTCCGCTGTCTAGGTCCAGTTTCTTGAGTTTAAGGCTAAGTAAATTAATCTGTCTGATTAATGATACATTTTGAAAGAAAAAAATGAATTATCTGATAATCGGAAATCTGAACTTATTTTGTTATATATATGAATATTCAGAAATACATGAAAGTTCATCCAGTTCACTCAGGTATGGTTATTCGTTTGAATGATCACATGCTAATTATGATATGCTGTTATATGCTTCAATATGTTATGTGTTATTACCGTACCACTCAGCACATTGCTGAGCGGGTAGTTGTTTGTTTTTCCTACCCGTAGGTCAAGTCCAAGATCAACCTGAAGCATCGGGATGGAGGGAGGCATAGGACTCATATGCATATGGTGTATTTTGGGGTCCTTTAAAGTATGGAATGTGTATTTGAAATAAACTTTATTTTGATATTTTGTAAAAAAACCTTCCGCTGCAGTTAAATGATTTTTGTGACGTTGACGTTATGCCTGTTTAATAAATTTCTACTTATTCTGGGCTAATGTGTTCCAATTATTCAATAATAAAAGTATGTTTGTAACTTTGTTAAATATGGTCGAATCGGATCAAAATCTTTAAATAAATCTGTTTCGGTTTCTGCCTCGTGACACACCGCTCGGGTCGGCGGGGTCGATCCGGGTGGGGTGTTACAGAACGAATCGCGGAAATATTCAATA